CCCTCGTTCCCCGTAAATGGGGGAAACCTCCAAAAAAATTACAAATTTAAAAATCGCTAATTTTCGAAATTTTTTCAATTTTTTTTACTTAAAAGTGCCATAACTTTTTCAAAAATAAACATATCAATATAATTTTTTTTTATATAGGTGCATAATATCATTACCTTTCATTTGGTATATTTTTTTTATAAATTTAACCCTTAACCTGTCCACAAGGGGGATTTAAAATGACAACTTTTTCAAAAAAAATTAACTTTTAAAAATGTTCCGGAAGGTCTGACACTTTTATATATATCTTAAATTGAAGCTAATGTAATGTTCTTTATTATGCAAAAAAAAAATTTCGGACTTTATTTTATCTTCATGGTGAAAACAGCTATCAAAGTTTATAAAAAAAATACGATTATTGTAAAAAAATTCGTTTTTATATTTTTAACTTTATAATGCTATAACTTTTTGAAAGATGTATGGATCAATATAATTTTTTTTTTATAGATGCATGATGTCTTTACCTATCATTTGGTATATATTTTTTTTATATCTGACCCTTTACCTGCCCACAGGGGGGGATTTAAAATGACAACTTTTTCACAAAAAATTAACTTTTTCAACTTAAATTTTGAAACTGTTCCGGAAAGTCTGACACTTTTATTTATATCTTAAATTAAAGTTAATGTAATCTACTTTATTATGCGAAAAAAAAATTTCGGACTTTATTTTATCTTCACGGTGAAAATGGCTACCAAATGCTATTATTGTGTGAAAATTCTCGATTTTATTTTTTACATTTTTAACTTTATAATGCTATGACATATTGAAAAGTGTATGGATCAACATTATTTTTTTATGAGAAATAATATTTTTTAATAATCCCTTTTTCATTCGACATACTTTATCTTAATTAGGATATTAATAATGAACTAGCAGATCATGTAGCTTTTGGAATAATCCACCAATTTTTTAAAATTAAACACTATCTAAAGATTTGCATCGAAGCGTTTTTTTTTTATAGTGATTTTAATCACTGTCAGATATCATTATACTTGATCCATCTATACCACGTCACCACTGCCGCGACCCCCCTGTGCTGGGTTTTTTTTTTTGTGTCTGTCACCACTTTTTCTCAGCTCTCACCGAACCGATTTCTTTCAACGATACGTCAAAATATTACAAATTGTATCTAGTCGAAGACATTACCCTCAAAAATTGAAAAAATTTCCCTCGTTCCCCGTAAATGGGAAACCTCCAAAAAAATTACAAATGTTAAAATCACTAATTTTCGACATTTTTTCAATTTTTTTTACTCTAACTGCCATTACTTTTTTAAAAATGACCAAATCAATATAATTTTTTTTTAAAGATGCATGATATCTTTAACTATCATTTGGTATATTTTTTTTATACATCTGACCCATTACCTGACCACAGGGGGAATTTAAAATGACAACTTTTACAACTTAACTTTTGAAATTGTTTCGGAAAGTCTGACACTTTTATATATATATATCTTAAATTAAAGCTAATGTAATATACTTTATCATGGAAAAAATAAATTTCGGACTTTATTTTGTCTTCACGATGAAAATGGCTACCAAATGCTATTTTAGTGAAAATTCTCGATTTTGTATTTTACATTTTTAACTTTATAATGCTATAATTTTTTGAAAAATGTATGGAATAGTACAATTTTTTTATGAGAAGTAGTATTTATATAGATCTTTCATTGGACTTACTTTTTTTTTAAATCAAACCATTTCCCTTTATATATTTATATATTATAAATAAATAAATATATATATATATATATATTTATTCATATATTACACATATAAATCATAAAACTTGTAATCAGGATATAATTAAGGAAATAGCAGATCATGTAGCTTTTGGAATAATCCACCCAATTTTTTAAAATTAAACACTATCTACAGATTTGCATCGAAGTGTTTTTTATGATAGTGATTTTAATCACTGTCAGATATCATTATACTTGACCGAACTATGCCACGTCACCACTTTGCTGTGACCTCCCTGTGCTGGGTTTTTGGCTTTGGAACATAAGTACCTCTACGTTAAAAACACTATCTATGCCTACGTATATCAGAATTATGGGATTTTGAGAATTTTCATAATATATATAGAGAAGAATGTTTTCTTTCATGACGAAAAAACGATTAAATTTGAACTGGAATGTTTGTATTTGCACTTAAAAATGTCGACTTTAATACGATATTATTAGAATTTTAAATTTATTATTGCTCTCTTAAAAAATAACTTGAATTTGACACGGTGCCGTATTTTTGGATACGTTTAAAGCACGGTCACCTAGAGTCTTTCATTAGCCGCCTTATTACATGGCAAGTATGATATGATTTACTTCGCTTTCTAGCTAGGGTGCAAAGTCTATCTACTGAAGCACGGTCGGTGGTCGACATCGGTGGTGAATGCTATATCCGGCTGAAATCGTCTTATGTGCCTTTACGCGTTACTATATACTGTTTTTGTGTTAAGCCACATTTTTCTCCGAAAATAACTTGTTCTGTTATACTTAATATACTCGCTAATAGGTTTATAAACCAACGGAACATTTATTAGTGTTATTGTATTGTTTTTTTATTTTTGTTTTATTGTAATAATTAAATATACCATCTAACTTGACAGTGTCGTCAAAATTAGTGTTAAACTTTATTTTACTTTCAATTA